CGATTTTTTTTAAAAATCCATTCAATATTGTGATTTTTTTATGATATAGATAGCACTCTGATTTTTTTTTTTGGTATTTAACATTTTAATTTTATTTTTAGCGTATTCAGCAGTTTAAAACTTAGATTGTTGAATAAAACTAAAAAAATAATATTAAGGTGTTGGATACATTGAAAAATGAAATCAGCATGTTGAATGCACTTTTAAAAAAAATTGAGATGCTGTTGAGAAAAAAGATCAAGATGTTTGATATACCTTTATCCTTTTTATTTAGAAAAATTATAAAAATAATATTATCTTTAATTACGTGCAGATATTTTTTATTTCACACGTAGTTAAAAATAAATTTCACACAAGTCACAAAAGAAATAAATTGCACGCAACTAATGCCTTCACCAAAGGTAGGTTGCACCTTGGTGTGTTTGGATAATAGATATAATTCATTTCCATATGTTGTGAGTCTAAAATCTAAATATTGAGTTATAGTGATATTTATAACTTGCAAAGTAGCAGCTTGTTAAAAGATGGTTATATATCTATCCCCACAAACTTGTTATATATTGATACACTCCATTTGCTCTTAATTAGATACAATATTTTCGATTAATTTATTAAGATTAAAAAATTGTTTAGTATTGATATATCGCTGTTTTATAATTACTCTTATCATTCAATGAAGCATCATAGTGACTTTTCACCAAAAATAATTTAAACATTAATTAGGGATATATTGGTGAAAAATACTTTTAATGCATGAGAGAAAATGGATAGGTCATGCCATATCAAGGGACAAATTATAGTGCAACAAAAATTGGGTATGCATTGCCTTTGATTCTTAATAAAATCTGGTTGACTAATTTAAGATATTAAAAGAATTAGTTAAATTAATTATTTGTAATAAATAAGTTTTGTCTTTCCTAAAATACCCTTACTAATAAGGTGTACTAATTAGAATTATCATTTGATGAAACTTTTAACATATGTAACCTACAAGGACTACTTTGAAAAAAATAGATAAACATGAAAGATAAAATAGATTGAGGTCTTATATTTAGAACCAAATTGAAAGTCAAACAAATTCTTATATTAAAGACCGGACGTAGTATATTGTATAGTCTTTATAATTGAGAATGAGTTGCACTATTTGCAATTCTCATATGATTTTTTTGGTTAAATAACTTACATACAACATGATTTATTATAAATTTTACAATTATATTATGTTGTTAATATGTTTTTGTTTCATCAAAATAATCAATAAAAATAAACTATAAAACACATAAAAAATAGTGCTCTTTATCTTAAATTTTGCAAAGTTTCTCCATGTGTGTTCACTACTTAGTAGCCAATAAAGGTAGTTAATATTTCAAAAAAAGTGATTTTTTTAGAATAAAAATTAAATATATTACTCAATTATTTAATTTTATTGATAGAAAATAAAACATTATAATGAAAGGACACGTCTCAATACACACATATCTGGGGCATATAAATATCCCTGGGAAGCATGGATGAGGTACAAACTTTTTCACCCAAGTTTCCGAAGAAAAAGAAAAAAAAGGTGATGAAAGAATTGTTGATGTAAAATTAAAGCACAACAATTTTAGCAAGGCCATGGGTGGAAGGACATTTCCTAAATTAAGCAAGGTCCCATTTAGTAATGATGAGGGAATGAGAATTATTCTGATAAAACATATTCTTTTACATATTATTATTAAATTATATGAAATGTAAAAATTATAACAATCACATGTAATTGTTTTAGTACGTACAAGCTAGCTAGGGGGCAGAATCTATAGACAACAAATAATTATCTCCCTCGGGGCAATGTTGAGAACATATTAATGATAGATCTGTTTCAATTAAGTTGCTACAATGGCAAAACTTGAGATTTAAATTTCCAGTCATCTATTTAAGTGACGAAAATATCTATTACTCAATGTCAAAACAACTTGAGTTGATAAAATTGCTTTCATAACTTGTGCCTTTAAACATTAATTCAGAACATGTTTGGTTAAGTGATAGGATCTTAAATAAGCCCGTTTAAATCCAAATAAGTGATTATGAAATATATTTGTTTTGTTTTGATAATTTTTTATAAAATCCTGATCAATCATGATTTCACTTTTCTACTGTACTTTTAGGATAAACAATAAGGAGTAGTTTATGCATTTGAAAAATCCCAATCAATCTTTAGCAATTAAATTTTCTCCAATCTACCTTCCTACATTCTTCCAAAAATCTCTCCTCAAATATTCACGTTATGCCCTTTTTAGTAATTATACATTTATAAATGATTTTAATAAATAAAAACCAAATATAATCACAATTCTTAAAATCACTTATAAAAAAATCTAAACAGAAATTATAATTAACCAGTGTCACTTATAGTTAGTGTCACTTATAAAATTCACGATTATCTAAAATCATAGCTATTCACTGCTAATTCAAACGAGCACTCAATATATTTTACAATTCATAATTTATTTATAACCTATGGAAAGTAATTATAAGGGAAAATTGCAAATAAAGACCCCTGAATATATAAAATAGCAATCAGGGACCCTGAATTTGAAAAATTGCTCACAAGGACCCGATCCCAATTTGTAATTATGAAATCATGGCCAAATTACCAAAATACCCCTCTTTCATTTTTTTTTTAAAAAAGAAACTACTACTGCCTCGCCGGAATCCGGCCGCCGGAGCTCCGCCACCTCAGCCGCCGGCTGCCGGAGCTCCGCCACCTCGGCCGCCGGAGCTCCGATGCATGCGGCCGGATTCCGGTGGCATTCCTTTATTTTTTTTTTTGAAACTGTTTTTTTTTTTTAAATTGGGGGGAAGTGAGGTTGGGGGGATTTGATCCCCCAACCTCATGCTTCCCAAAATTAGGAATGACCATTGAGCCAACAAATTTTTGCTAACATTATAATACAAAAAAAAATATAAGTTAACTCATTTACTCTTGTTCCAGGTGATAACAAGAATACATTTGAAAATAACAAGTTCTGATTATAAAATAACAAGTCTGGGATTAAAATTTAACAACACGTTTTTTTTTTATAACAACACATTCTGTTGCAGGTGATAACAACAATACATTTGAAAATAACAAGTTCTGATTATAAAATAACAAGTCTGGGATTAAAATTTAACAACACGTTTTTTTTTATAACAACACACTCTGTTGCAGGTGATAACAACAATACATTTGAAAATAACAAGTTCTGATTATAAAATAACAAGTCTGGGATTAAAATTTAACAACACGTTTTTTTTTATAACAACACACTCTGTTGCAGGTGATAACAACAATACATTTGAAAATAACAAGTTCTGATTATAAAATAACAAGTCTGGGATTAAAATTTAACAACACGTTTTTTTTATAACAATACACTCTTTTTCAGGTGATAACAACAATACATTTGAAAATAACAAGTTCTGATTATAAAATAACAAGTCTGGGATTAAAATTTAACAACACATTTTTTATAACAATTAATTATTTTATACTTTTGAAAAATAAATTATTTATAACTTATAAAAAGTATTTTAAATCTATTTAATTTGCTAAAAAAATAATTTTTATCTCCAATTTATAATCAAAACTTGAAGTGTAATTTATTATAGATTAAAAATACTTTTTTATTGTTCAAATTTATAAATAAAATTTAGGGAAAATGACAACACACTTTTTTAATTTTTTTAAAAAATTTTTTAATCTATATATCTATACAACTCATTATAAATCAAACTACTTCTTATAAATTATAAATAGTATAATTTATTGTAGATTAAAAATACTTTTTGATTGCTTAAATTTATAAATAAAATGTATCTCTAATTTATAATTAAAAACTATTTTTTTTTCTTTAAATATAAAAACTATTTTTAATATTTAAAGAATGAAATAATAAATTATACTATAATATTTAAATACTTAATAATAAATTTTAATATTTAAAGAATGAAATAATATAAAATATTATAATGAGTTGTTAAAAATATTATAAAAAAATGTGTTGTTAAATTTTAATCCCAGACTTGTTATTTTATAATCAGAACTTGTTATTTTCAAATGTATTGTTGTTATCACCTGAAAAAGAGTGTATTGTTATAAAAAAAATGTGTTGTTAAATTTTAATCCCAGACTTGTTATTTTATAATCAGAACTTGTTATTTTCAAATGTATTGTTGTTATCACCTGCAACAGAGTGTGTTGTTATAAAAAAAACGTGTTGTTAAATTTTAATCCCAGACTTGTTATTTTATAATCAGAACTTGTTATTTTCAAATGTATTCTTGTTATCACCTGGAATAAGAGTAAATGAGTTAACTTATATTTTTTTTTGTATTATAATGTTAGCAAAAATTTGTTGGCTCAATGGTCATTCCTAATTTTGGGAAGCATGAGGTTGGGGGATCAAATCCCCCCAACCTCACTTCCCCCAATTTAAAAAAAAAAAAACAGTTTAAAAAAAATAATAAAGGAAGGCCACCGGAATCCGGCCGCCGGCATCGGAGCTCCGGCGGCCGAGGTGGCGGAGCTCCGGCAGCCGGCAGCTGAGGTGGCGGAGCTCCGGCGGCCGGATTCCGGTGAGGCAGTGGTGTTCTTTTTTGAAAAAAAAAATTAAAGAGGGGTATTTTGGTAATTTGGCCATGATTTCATAATTGCAAATTGGGACCGGGTCCTTGTGAGCAATTTCTCAAATTCAGGGTCCCTGATTGCTATTTTATATATTCAGGGGTCTTTATTTGCAATTTTCCCTAATTATAATTTATAAACTCAATATATTCCCATTTACCTCTTTGAGACTAAAACCCGATGATTATTTCAATTTTTATTATTTTATTTCGTTTTATTATATATAATATTCAGTTTTCTTTTGGTCCTTGAGAATTTTTGCTTCCAGCTTCCTTAATCCCATGAGATCAGATCAAATACTATAGGCCTCATGAAAATATCGAGGTTACAAAAGTAATCATACATATATGTATATATGTATGTGAACGAAACTTCAAGAGAAATTAAACCGGACTCTAGACCATTGGCGCAGCAGTATATGTATCTGCTGGCCGGGGTGGGAGAAGAAGCAGGGCAAGTGAGAGCAGCAATCTATAATCTTGAACCGGCGGAGAAGGCGGTGGATGTGTGCGTGAGGTTGCTTTTGTGGACCGGACAAGACGGGGGTTCCGGTGTGGCAGCTGGGGTTGGGCGGCGAACGGCTATGGGCCGACATGAACCGCCTGCTCTCCTTCCTCTTCCATCAACAAGTCCTCGACGAGCAGTTCCTGCAACTTCACCGACTCCAAGACCACTCCTCTCCCTACTTCGTCTCCGAAGTTTTCTCCATCTATTTCCGCGAGTCCGAGAGACTCCTCTCCTCTCTTCGATCTCTCCTGTATATCTCTCTCTATTCATTCTCTTCATTCATATCCACATATATATTCTGATCGTTTCCATTAATTCTGCAGAATGGATAAGGAGTCATCAGACTTGAAGAAAATGGGAATCCATTTGAATCAGTTGATGGGTAGCAGTTCCAGCATCGGTGCCAAGAGAATCAGAAACGTCTGTGTTGCATTCCGCGCTTCTATTCGCCTCAACAATCGCCCTGGGTCTCTTACATGTTCCTTCTCCAATTCTACAATATATCCACTTCACATCATCAGTTCTTCTTCAAGCTTATAGGCTTATTTTTTGGGATTGGGTTATTATTTTATACTTATATCCATATCAACATGCACCATGCATATTCAGTAAACACAAAGCAGATAACGGAGTGTTTCTTGCTGCTTCACACGATGGGTTTGATAATTTCAGATGCTTGAGAGCTTTGGAGATGCTGGAGCAGGAGTATTGCTATCTCAAGAACAAGCTACACGAGTTATTCCGAGTACGTACTATCTCATTAATGGAGCTATCAGTTTACTTGATGAAGATCATAAATTCCCATTATTTCTATAATTAATAACAGATACTGATCACAAGTTATGACCTATGCTGCATTATTATTGTGATTATTAATGCAGATGGAGCAGCAACGCGTTTTGGCAGCAGGAGTGAGATACCCAGCAGCAGGTGAAGACTAATTACATTACAGGATTAAGTTAATTAAAGCGATACGTAGTGAATGATCAGTGAAGAGATCGATCGCAGTAATTACGCCTGTGAGACGGGTGCTTTTAATGAGGAGCCTTAGGTTTTAGGATTTAGTGGCTTTCTCTTTGGGAGGAAGCAGAGCGGTGACCAACTTTTGTACTTGGTGATAGTGGGAATAGGAAAAAGAAGAGGGGTCGAGTATCTGGCATTTGGATTCTGATGTACGAATGCGTGGTGGCGTCGTCTTCTTCTTCATCGCTGGCTCACTTTTTGAATGAAACAGAATCAAATCTTGTCGAAGTTGTAGTTCGTACCTGCCAGTGCCTTTGATTTCATAGTTTTACTCTCCCAAAAGTGGCTCGTAAGTAAACTTACCACGCTCTCTTGGTGAATTTAACAGTGCTTGGGAGTGTTTACGTAAAGTCACGATTTCAAAAATGTTTTTATAATTTACAAAATAAACAAATGAAAAAATTTGTCTCATTTTTTTTAAAAATATTTTTGAGAGTTGTCAAACATTTTTTTTGTTAATGTCATTTTTAGTTAAATAAATTTAACTTGGTCATAGAAATTTGAAACTCAATTTACTTTGGGTCCATTAAATTTGGAACCAAAGATTTAGTTTTTGGAATAATTTTTTTAAAGATCAAAAATAAAATGAGAAAAAATTTTAAAAACCAAAACTAAAATAAAATAGAATTCTAAAGACTAAAATTACGTGTTTCAAATTTTAGAGTCCAACACTAAAATTAGGTTAATTTCGTGAACTAAAAGTGATATTAACTTTTTTTTTTTGGGGTTTGATGATACATGTGCTCCATTTTTTTCGAGTTAAAAGTATACATTTGAATATTTGATTACTTATATATTTTAATTTAATCTTTTAATTTAAGAAAGTACGTTTTTAGTTATTTAATTTTAAAATTAATAATGATATTTTCGTAACTAATTTTTTCTTCATCTTTCAACATTGAAAATCTTTTAAAAAATTCAGATTTGTAGTATTAATCTTCTTATAAAATGCTTAGTTGTCATCATTCTAGACAATAATTTGATTTCATGACTCTCTCAAAACCGGCGTGGTTTAAAGAAGAGTTGGATCATTTTCATACGCACACATATAGATCATTATATTAACTACGAAAAGCATTAAAAAATTCACATATTCCGCGACTAGGAAAAGTTAAATTGAGACCCAAACATTTTTTTATTGGACGTAATTAACTAATTAATACTATCTCTAATTTAAATTATAAGAGCTCCTCATCTAAAACCACCAGTTTGGCATACATCTAATGTGGCATACATATTTTAAAGGCACACAAGTCCCTAATTATTGTAGAATAGATCCATCTTGTCAACAAGTTTAATAGGGGAACAATAATAAAGACAAGATACTCTTCACAAAATTCAAATGGAATAGCTAAGTTTGAAAGAAAAATACGTGCCATTGAAGCAAGCTAATAGTTTGTTTGAAGCAGCTATATATTAAGTGTTTATAAATACATTTATTATAGGTCACTATAAAATTCTTCTTGTATATTTATTTTTTATTCATAAATTATAATTAAAAAAATTATTTTTAAAGAGTTTTATGAATGTAGTATTTCATTGAGATCTCAGTCAAGAGAAGGGTCCAAAACAATGAAAAGATCTAACATTTACAGAAAGAGGGAGCATCTGTGGCAGAGGAATCTCGAGTGTTTGATGGTCAAATCTTTGAGGAAAACGGAGCAAGTGAATATATGAATATATAAGCATATAATATGTGATCAGTGAGATTGCAAGTGTTCGTAAATGATGCCACTTAGATACTGCCACATTTACTGGATCCTGCCAAGTCTAGTCTAATCCATCTACAGTACCATTTTCTCTCTGGACAGGAAACAAAATTAGCCTCCATTTTATTGTTGGCTTTTTCATTTCCCATTTATTATTTTATTAAAAAAAATCAAACTTGAGATTTCAGATGTGATTGGTGTTGGGGTAATTTTATAAAATTGTTAATATATGAATTAATTCAACTAATTATTCAGTAAGTTATGTAATTAAGCATGGAGAAAATTGGTCAATAATCCCTATTTAAAAAATTAATTATGAAAGGATATTTGAAATTTATTTTAAAACTCACGTGCGGTTTATTTTTAATAAGCGCATCTTTAATTGTGTATAACACATTTTTAATCACATATAAAACATAAAACATTTTCAGGATGTGCCTGTCTCAAAAGACCTCAGATCTTAGACATCTTTATATAATTAATCTTCTAATAAGACCAATTTTTCTTAAGCATATTAGTTTAATTTAATCAATTAGAAACTTCAAAACATATTAGCTCTTTTCGGCTTTTGTATGGAGTGTGATAGGTTATCACACAAGTGAATTAGTCTTGGGTAGAGGTCCATCCTACAACCCTTATATGAGAGAAATAATCTACTTATTTCTCTCAGGGTGCGGCCATTATGAGGATTTTATATTTTAGGTTCGTGTCTCTCTTATATTAGATGTTTTCAGGCATTTTGTTGGCTTTTGTTGTTTTTTTTTATTGTTTGAATCCTTTTTCTTTGTAATGAATATTTTCCCTATTGGTGAAACTGGAAAATGATTATAAAACAAAATGATAGTGAAAAACTTGAGAACAGAGGTATTTTGAAATGCCTCATTTTAGTTCAGAATTTCCTTTCTCCCTCTCTATTCTTCCTCTTTGCCAGCTTCGAACGTGGCACCTCAAGTCACCAACAACCTGTGACTCACCATGAGGACCGATGCGCCAGCGATGTTTAAGTGTCCACATTATCTAGGATCCATTTAAAATAACTTATAAGTAATTTTTTAATCGCAATTTAGTAAAATATGAAATAAATATGTGATAATACTTTTATCGTTACTTATATAAAATTGTTATAAATAAAGAAGAAATAGAGAGAAGAATCATAGAAAGAGATGATCAACAAGAGAGAGTATTTCTCATTCCATTCAAATGTGTTATGTACATTATACATGGTCTCTATTTATAGGCACAGCTTTACACCTTTGGTAGAATCTACAGATTACATAATAATATGAGATAATTGTGGGATACAGAGATAATAGGAGATATTAGAGATTATAGGAGATAATAGGAGATATATGGACATCCACAAAGATATTATTACATTCATAACACTCCCTCTTGGATGTCCAATATATATGAATGTGTCTCGTTAAAAAACTTAAACTAAGAAAAACCCTGTGGGACAAAAACCTTGCGAAAGAAAAAGAGTACATCATTCATTGACACACTATGTAATGCCGCCTCATTAAAAACCTTGCTAGGAAAACCTAGTGGGACAAAACCATAGATAAGGAAAAAAGAGTACAGCATGTATCAACTCCCCCTTTTGGCAACATCAGTTGACATCTTTGAGCCTGCAAAGTCTAATAGAACGAACAACCTTTCCAAATATCGTAATGAGATAAAAACGTCAAATATGAATTTCATGATCTTTTGAAAATCATGAGATGAATAGTCCTTTTATGGTTTATCTACACATGGATCATACTATGATCTCTTGACATAAGGATCAAACAAGAATACTATATTTATATAGCCATTAAGATTAGTCTTGGGTACTTTCAGATAAAATAATATTACCTCCATGGTATTTTTAAAGTAATGAAGAATATTTTTAACTTCATTCCAACATCTTCATGTTGATAAAGAACTATATCATACTAATCAGCAAATAATAGCTCAAATTCTGTATAGCTAGATAGATATATAAATGCTTCAGTGACACTAAGATATGGTACTTCTGGACCAAGTGTTTATTAATTACCTTCTGGAGGTCTAAATCGATCTTTAGTCCATATCTAAAGATTTTGCAACTACTAAAACATATACTGGATGTTGCTTATCCACATAATGAATGTGACTTATCCATATTTATTCTTTCGAAAGCTTTCATTTCAAACTTTTTCTTTAAGTAATTCGCAACTTTTGAAAACTCATCAGGAGTTTTGATACTATCATCATAAATAATACTGATAACAAATTCATTTTGAATCTTTTCACAAAAAGACAAGTTGGAATATGTTTATATCATTCCTTCAATCGATATTAACCACATATGTCTCATATAGAGACTTACTTGAATAGTATCCTTGAGAACATAATTGTATGCTTCTAGAAACTTAAATCCTTCAAGGATCTGAATCCTTCAGGGATTCATATAAAATTTCACTATAAAGTGAGTTATACGTTATAGTTATATATTTCTAAGACGCACATGAAAAAAATTTCATTTATTACCAAACTACCAGATTGATAAGACATGTAATTTAATCCACCACAAGACTTTATTTCTCTTTATATTGTACAAATGCCTATTTACATAATACTAGCATTACACTTCAAGTGCATAGGCCAAGGATACACAAATCCCTGTTACATTGCATCTTTTCTTTTCTGTTGGCCAACTATTTTTGTGTATGTATCTCATGACAGATTTATATATAAGATCCTCATTTGATCACATAATATCATCAATAAAATTATTGTCGACAATTTTATTCCTTTATCGGTCCCCTTTTCTTTTATAACATAACATATTGAGATCTCTTTATTGCTTTTAGACACTTAAACCTCTTCAAGGGTCAAACAATTGTGTCTTAATCTCTTTTGCAATTCATGCCTCCTTAGTATGATCATCATGATCATTTGCTTCTTTTTCTTTTCTTTTGAAACCGATCATAATCTCATGCTTTTAGCATGTCTTTAAGAATAGAAGCACTTTTAGCTGGAATATAAGAACTAAGAATTCTCATTTTGATCAGTAATTACATCTGTCAGATATTAATAATATTTTATGAATGCAATACTTTGTGAACTTCTAGTTCATACTACTATATTTGATGATCTACATTTGATAGTAAAAATAGATTTTATGTATTCTCTTTTCCAGCTACATATTTTCTCCCCCTCATATTGGAAACATATAATGTAGATCT